ATAGTTATATATATATATATATATATATATATATAAAATTAAGTTTAGATTTTTAAGAAATTTTATAGATTTTAATGAAGATGAAATAAATAAATATTCATATATTTGACTAAGAACATACCGTAGGAGCAACCGTGCATGGCTGAAATATCAAAATCAAGTAAATCATGTAAGTCATTGATATTTAAGTTCTTGTAAAGATGATATTTAGAAGGCTGAAAATTTTTATTTTAGCATAGGTTAGGATTCTTCTGAGCAGTGGCTTTATAAATGAAAACATTGTTGTGCACTAATCCTGTGATTAGCACCGATTCAACTCTAAAATGGCGGTTAATAATATATCTTATTAATGCTTAAAACAAAAGGCTTCTAAATAATAAACAAAAAGATTGGTTCAGGCGGTGTTTGGTAGCATACTATCAATTGGATTTAGCCATGAATTCAACTTAATTCAAGCCAAAAAAATAATAATAATAATTAAATCTATTTTTTTCTTGTTTCGTCTTTTACTTCTCACATTCCGTCATTTTTAAGACATAAATATGAATTTCATAAATCCAATTGTGAGGAGGATTTATTCCGCCATTACTTGCAAAATCTTCGGCCCACAGGAATTTGATAAATTTGAATTTATAGAATTTGATAAATACTATTTAAGGTAAAACTTAGACATGTAAGTGACATGCATGTATCATCTATATTTGAAATTAATGTTAAGTCTTGTTTTATTTAATAAGAAAATACTCATTTTAAGATATGCTGAAAAATTGTTGATGTTATGGGCAATGAAAACATTTTTCCTCATTGAAAGATAGCCAAAAAGGCTTTTTTTTTAATGATAAACACTTTTATCATATGCATCAGTCATAACTTCAATCGTTGCATCCACATGCCACCTTAACCATACATAAAAATATGTATTTTAGTTTTTAAAAATAAAAAATGATGATATTTTCTTATGTAATATGAAATTTTTGAGTGATATAAATGTAGAAATTAAACTTTTGGAGTTACATATGTAGATAAATAGAAATTAGGTGAAATGAACCAAAATTTAAAGTTTTAGTGTTGACAATCTATAACTAAATTACAAATCAAAATACAGAATAAGCCTGGGTCATTCTTAATTACTAAAATTTGTCAAGACAAAAACATTGAGAAATAATTAATGCAAATTTATTAAGATATTAAAGAATTAATTAGAGCTTACTTGAGATTTATCTATTTTGCAAGACTTTGGCCACCAAACCTGACCATTACCGTTGATAGTGCCGCCGCCTCCCACTATCAGATTATCTACATGGCTGAAGAGCATCCACATCATTCTATTCTCGCTGCTCCAATCCGCTGCGTTCGATGAAGCTTCTATCGTTCCTTCTATCTGAAATTTATGATATATATATATATATAGTGTGTGTATGTGTGTATATATATATATAAAAAGAAATGGTTGGAGGCTATTATACGAGCCCCGATCACCCCTCATGCGCCTAAAAATTCGAGTACTACACCCTACACTCGGGGGGAATCAGACCTCACACCAGAGGGACTTACAACTGACAAGCAGATACCCAACCAACTTATTTGCGCGCGAGCACACACACACAATTACACGAGAAAATATTAGTTGCACAATACACTACATGAAATAGAAAGAGCGAGTGGAGGGACACCATCCTCTCCCTCTTCTTTCTCTCATTCTATTAGCTTGCCACAATTGCCTGCAACGCATCTAATATTTTCTCCAATTACACAAAATAATAGTCGGACTTCAGCTATCACTTTTTATTTATTTATTTATTTTATTCTCTTTAATTGCACATAGGAACTTTTTTAGTTTTATGTAAAATCTGTAAATATTGTAAAAGTATTTGGTAGGGAGTCTATGGATGCGAACTCTTTATACAATAATATTATATAATATATACTCATGTAGTACAAAAAACTCAGATCCATACATAATATTCTATCGTGAATATTTATCCAAAATACAATCACTGAATTACTTATATACTATCGACGGAATCCTTCTCACCTGTAAATAAACTTTTGATTTGCATGGGCCAGAAAAAACTATAGCTTTAAGCAGATACGTCGTCTTATTTGACACCACTAAAGTAGCAGGGCCGGTGGCAGAGCATGCTGCTTTCCATGCCTTCTCAAATGCCTAAACATATAAAAATTATGCAATGAAAACTATATATATATACGATCATATACATACAATTAATTAATTGGGTACATATCAACATACCAAAGTAGCGTCAGCTCCACCGCCTGTTGCACCATAATCACTAACGTTAATAACTATATCGTTAGCCGGAGAGCTTCCAACTTGATCAAAACTCCTCTTTGCTAACCCTTCTGTGTCAAGCAAAAGGGAGATGTTTAATAAACCGGATGAGACATAAAAAGAGGAGGCTTTCATTTGACAAACTCAAACCTTTAGGTTTGGTTTCAGCGTTATGAAACGTTGGTAATAACGGCATCAGAAGAGAAAACAGAAGAATAATAACTCTGGGAAGCATTATAAGAGAAGCCGGGAGAGTAGAAAGTTGGAGATTTGTTTGGTGTTTTTGAGTCTCATGAAAAATATAGACATAAACAGATGGATAGATGGATAATTGAATATATATACATATAAAGAGAGGGGGCGGGGTGTGTTGTGGATTAGTTTACGAGAGATTGAAGCATAAGGATCATTAAAGCTTTTCCCATGTTTTGACATCACAATTTAATCTGGTATTGCTTTAGTTTGAGTTCATCAGAAAATGGAGCTTCTGAAACTGAACAGATAAAGATGACATATTTAGAACATGCTTTATCTATCGAAGGTTTGTTTTTCTTAAGAAAATATGCTTTATCGATCGAAGGTTTTCATTCTTAGTTATGTGTTGGAGTTGCTTGTATGACTTGATAATTGGGTCATCGTGCATTCACGCTTGTACTTATTTAACAGATATGTATCTTTTGGTGTTCGTGCCAGTGGAGTAATGCGTGGACGTGTAAGGATCCCTATGTTTGGCCGTATAAGGATTGTTCTTTTGTGTCGTCTAATAATTGCATGCAATTCTTAGCTATAGTATGTATATGTTGTGTAAGCCCTTAGGGTTATTTGTTTTAAGTATTTTTTGGAACTGGTGTAATTTATATGTAGTTTTGTAATCGACTCAAGTTCGAATTAAATTTTAAAAATTATTATTTATTAATATATATATAATTGCTTAGGGAGCAAAGTTGAAATTTATTGATTTTCCCCTATCATTTTTTAGATTTATAGTGGTTTCTTCATAGAATTTTCTCCAATCTTTTGATGTGGGACAAAACAAAGAGGAGGTATCGGCGTAAGTTGTGCAAAGCAGGCGAGGCTCCCTAGGTGGAGCGCTTATTCTGGAGTCTCATGGCAAGTAGGCCCTAATGTAATACTTAAGGAGTGGACTCACTTGTCACGTGGCGCATGACCACTAGAGTTCGGATGCAAAATTTGAGTTGTGTTTTGATGGAAAAAATTTTCCACTAGGTGAGACCATTCCTATGTATTTACATAAGTCACACCCAAAAAGGCTGCAGCAGTGGGCGGAGCCGAATTTTGGGCAAACTTTTTGATTCATTTACATGGATTTATGTATCTATCGTCTTAATATTTGTTTTTTTTATAATATGAGAGGAAATATTTACATGCATACCACCCAATTTTTATATATTTACATTTATAAACTGAATCATATTTTTTATATTTATATCAAATTTATCATTAATTTAAGTATTATATAATATTTATTTATTTTGAGCTAAAAAGAGTCAACACGATCGAGCATGTTTGTGTTCAGCTCGTTTATAAATCAAGTTAAAAAAATTTGTTCATGTTTGACTCTCTTGTGTAAAGAACAGATCGAACAAGAGCTACTTACCGAGTTGAACATGTGTTATTCGCGAACAACGAACTTTTTTGACAGCCTACACACAACATATAAACGCGCAAACATAGTGTGATTTATGTCGTTTGGTGCAAGTTCTCCTACTTCCATGCGGAGTGGTTATTCCACTATCAGCAAGTGAGGAGAAATAAAATGGTTGAAATAGAGTTACAACTACACACATTAAAATCAAGCATAATCCCTTCTAAATATAAGAGATGATTAAGGCACACTAATAAAAATCTAAGGCGACCAATTTACTCCATATACAAACAAAGCCTCCAATACAACAATCTTCACCTTATCTCTCACATTCAGATAAGTTACCGATGACTAAATGAGCTCCAACATCAAAATGACTGCAACAAAATGGTTGTCTATGTCTGTACCCCCCTCCCAAAGGGATAAAGCCTCACTTAGTTCTTCAAAATGCCTAAATGGTTAATAAATCATGAGCTTGGATGTTCACAAAACTCATAAATTGGGTGAACTTATGCTCTTGTGGTACCTAATTTGTGAGTATGTTTGTTGGATTCTCCTTTGTATCTATCTTCTTCAACGAAATGTCATTGTCATCAATCAAGTCTCGAATAAAGTGATACATCAAATCAATGTGTTTGATATGAGTATAATGAATTGAATTCATGGCCAAGAATATCCCACTCTGATATCACAAAACACTATTAGAGACTCCCGCTCAATTTTCGAAGTCATCCAATAATCCATCCACATCACTTCCTTCATCCCCTCTGTCACTATCATGTACTTAGCCTTTATAGTAGACAAAATAATAGCAAACTGAAGAAATGATCTCTAACTAATTGAACCTCCAACAAATGTGAATAAATAGTCAATCATATAGTCCATGCGCCCATCCATATCACTCACATAGTCATAATCAGTGTATCACACACACAAATGAATAATAAATGAAAGACTCTCAAATATTAAATCAACATCAAATGTACCCTTCAAACACCTAAGAATATTATTCACAACTTGTCAATTACTCTATCTGAGATTATGCATGAAGCTAATCACAATACAAACCACTTGGTGTAATGATTGTTATAATACAAACCATGACATATATTTGACTGCCCACTACACTAGCATAAGAAATTGATCATTTTCCTTTGCTCTCTTGATTATCATTAAAACACTAATATGAACTCAACTAAAAGTGAAATATAATAGGTAGACTCAATGCCTTGCTCGAGTCATCAACCTTAGAACTTTTTGTCACCATTCAAACATATATATGCTCCTTGCAAAAGCCTAACATTTCCACCTGCTTTGTCCTTAAGAATCATGTGAAGAATTCTATGAGTTACACCTAACTCCCTCTAAAAATATTTATATAATTACTTCTTCATCCTATCAATCTTAATCTAACTAGTAGATGAAACCAACTTTTCATCATCATTTACAAGCATGTGGATGAACTCACCGTTGACTAACTTCTTAAAATATGCTCAATAATCATACTAGCTCCTCATGTACCTCTATCCCATCATGAACTGATCAAACTTCTTATACCGCTACTGTGGTGACTACTTCAACCCATATAAAGTCTTCTCTAATATGCAAACCAGGTCTTTTAAGGCTTCGTATCCAAGCGACTGCAATATATAGATCTCCACTTACAAATATTCATGCAGTCTTCATATCAAGCTACTTCAAAATCGATCTGCATTGTGATAAAAGTGCTAAGAGAACACATATCAATAAATAATTTATCATTTGATAGAACATCTCATCATAGTCAATCCTTTTTCCTTAGGCAAAGCCATTTGCCACTAACATTGCCTTATATTATACATCAACTTCATGTGATCCTTCTTTCTTTTCATAAACCTAATTGTGCCGAGTGGCTTTCCTTTCCAAAGGAAGCTTCATTAAACTCTAGGTAGTATTATTTCTAAAAGACTATTTTTTTCATCCATTAACCCTCACCAAAGATCACCATCTAGCTCTCCATAGCTTTATTATAGTGACAATAAATTTCAGCATCTATTACTAAAAAGTGTAAATACAATATGTAATATCTTCATGTCCTTCTTATTACTAAGCTTTTAAAATGAAATATATTTTTTTATGCATACATATTAATGTGATTGGGACATTAAAATATTATATAGATAAATATCAAAGTAGAGTTAAGTGATCGATATATTTATATATAAACATAAAGAATTATATAATATGCATTTGAATATTCCTTAATATTTTTGTTTGATCTCCACAGCATTTCGTCAAGCTTAAAAGCAATAATTTTCTTATTTACAAGGGTGCGTTGGTTAAACAAACTATACATTATTATCCTTTACCGTATAAGATCTTGTGAAATTAAGAAAACAAGCTGCCATGTCGTTTATGTATAATCATCTTACGTCTTGTGTTGCATTTAGTTTCTCATTCTCAAGCGTTGTAGTTGCTTGTGTGATTTGACAATCACATCAGTCTGCATGCATGTACTTAGTTTAACAGATGTACTTGCGGACATTAGAAGGATCACCAGCACATGTGAATCGCAGCATCAACAAAAGATTTTGGCTTGAGTTTGGGTGCAGTTTATTTGTGTTGGTTGGTTTCCTATTAATCCTGGATGCGGTATAGGGGCTGCATCCCGCGTATAGCGAATGCGCTTTCCTCCTATTGCCCTTCTGCCTTCAATTGTCTCCTCTGCGCTAGTCTCGTGCGGAAGCCCTAACTCTCTTCGATTCTCCTCATTTCTCTCTACCGTTTCCTTCATCCTCATCTTCTTATCTCTGATCTCCACCACAGCTCAGCAAGTAACCAATTCATTCTATAGAAATAGTCAAAATCATGTAACTACTCTTGTACCCTCTAAGGCCTAAACAACCAGGCCTAAATGTAATAAATTTGTGTGGAAAAATGTATATACTTACCTACCAATACATAACGATCCTCTAGTTAGAATACTGATATTTTCCCAAATACTGTTGTTGGCGCCCCTTTTTTGTTAGAGACTCTTTTTCTTACTTGATATACGGAAGCTAACTCTTCTTATAAAAATGAATAAAAAAATGAAACATTTATGAAATTATTTAAAAAATATCAAATATTTTTTAAAGGAAGTGTAATTAAAATTCTTTATTTATGGTAACATAAAATTTTATTCACATCTAATTTTTGTTGTATATTGTATTACATTCTTGATAGTAGAGTTAAAGTTTGTTGACTATATATTGTATAAAAATCTCTCATATACAAATAAGACATTTTTAGAAGTAGCTCATGTGAAATGTGAAATTTTTTTATGTAAAAAATCAAGGATATGAAATTTTATGAGATTTGGATCAACTTAAATGATTATTTAATGTAAGTGCCCATAAGTACTAGACACCTCACCACTAACAATATTCTCCATATAACTGAATTATTGTATATTGACTATGATAACACCTCTATTAGCTTCTCTTATAACCTATATATAGCATATGTATCCAATTATTGTTCACTAACTAGAATTATGCATTTCCCCTAATTTATCGTGTGTTGCTTCATCTCTTAACAGGGTCTTCATCCCTGTTATCTCACGGTATGTCTTCATCTGTGAT